AACAAAACACCAATAAAATATATTTAAAAAAAAGAAAAGAAAAGAAAAAAAGTGGCTCAGTTTGGTGTATTGACAGGGACTGAGGGAGCTTTTGATGAGAAGCTGGACTCAGAGGTGAAGCTGGGTCCCAGCTCAGCCTTCGACTTGGGGTTCACTGTCCCCGTCTGCGCGGCCGGCGTGAGAACGGGAGGCCTGCGCACTCCCAGGTCCCCCGTGAGCCTGTGACTGCCCCCCTGTATCCTCAGGTCTGCCCCTGGCATTCCTGTCACTAAGTCACTTTGAAAGCCTTGGCCCAGCTTCTCATTTTTTCCACTTGGAGGCCAAGGCTATTTGTAGTCGCTCCACCTGTCGCCACGCGTGTTGGGCTGCCAAGGGCGAGCGCGTCTTCATGGCGAGCGCGTCTTCATGGCGAGCGCAGCCCTCGTTCCAGCCCCTTTGGGACACCCCGCTTTCTTTGAATGTCCACGTTGGGGACCCTTTCAGAATCCTCACGGCTCTTCATCCGTGAAGTGTCCCCTGGTAACTAATATTGGTAGATGCATATTGAGTCGGTTTCTTTTAGGGTCTCCATTCATCCTCATTTGTAAAAGAGGAATGGTTGCTAATTTGCTAATTGCAAAATATGCTCGTGATTAGAGAGGTTACTGCATGAGTCTAAGCCAGTGGTTCTCAACCTTCTGGCCCTTTAAATACAGTTCCTCATGTTGTGACCCGACCATAAAATTATTCTCGTTGCTACTTCATAACTGTAATGTTGCTACTGTTATGAATCATCATGTAAATATCTGCTATGCAGGATGGTCTTAGGCGACCCCTGTGAAAGGGTCGTTCGACCGCCAAAGGGGTCTCGACCCACAGGTTGAGAACCGCTGATCTAAGCGGTACAAATGTTCTAAAAGGATCATTACAGCCCGGCTGGTGTGGCTCAGTGGTTGAGTGTCCACTTATGAACCAGGAGGTCACTGTTGGAGCACATGCCCAGTGGGGGGGGGGGGGAGGGGGCGTGCAGGAGGCAGCCAATCAATGATTCTCTCTCATCATTGATGTTTCTATCTCTCTCTCCCTCTCCCTTCCTCTCTGAAATCAATAAGAATACCTTTAGAAAAAGAAAAGAGAGAGATGCAAATAAGCCTATGAAAGATGCTCTACATCTGTGTCATCAGGGAATTGCAGATTAAAACACCAGCGAGGCACCACTGCTTACCGGTTAGAATGGCCGCGTCCCACCTGCTGTCATTTCCTTCCGCCTGAAGGATTTCTCTTACCCTTTCTTGCTGGTGATGAACTCCTCCAGGTTTTATGAGCCTGAAAAAGTCCCTGCCTTCGTTCTGTACTATATCTTCACTGCGTGTAGAAGTCTGAGTTTACCGTGTTCTTTTAATACTTGAAGATGGTCACCTCCTGTCTTCACCTCACAGTGCTTCCGGACTCTGCTGGAACCCTCACCTGCTTATAACCTTACGAACGCCCCCCCCCCTCCCCTGCCCCGCCTCCCGGGTAAAACATGTCTTTTTTCCCTTGGCTACTTTTAAGATTTTCTCTTTATCATTGATTTTGAGCAAATTGGATAGAACTTTCTTCATGTTGCTTGTGCTTCAGGTTCACTGATTATCTTGGATCGATGAGTTTATAGTTTTTGTGAAGTTCAGGACATTTCCAGCCATTATTTCTTCAAATGTTTTTTTCTGTTCCCTCCCTCAGCCTTCTTCTTGAGGGAGTAGTCACTTGCATATTACATTGCTGGATGTCCCGCCACTCACTGATATTCTGCTTTTGTTTTGTTCTTTAAATTCTTTTTTCTTGCTGTTATACATTTCAATGATTTCTCTTGCTAAGTCTTCAAGTTCAGTGATCTTACTGATGACCACTTTTTGTTGTTGTTAATCCTCATCCGAGGATATTTTTCCTTTGATTTTTAGAGAGAGTGGAAGGGAGGGGGGAGAGACAGAGAGAGAGAAACCTCGATGTGAGAGAGACACATTGATTAGTTGCCTCCCACACATGCCCTGACCAGGGCCGAGAATCAAGCCTGCAACGGAGGCACGTGTCCTTGACGGGAACCGAACCCAAGACCCTTCAGCCCACGGACCCATGCTCTTTCTACCCCTCCATTCCCTGTGGTTCGCTGTTATGAACACTTTGGAGTGTTTTCTTCTAAATACAAACATTTGAAAGACCTATGTCATTTTCTTCCACAAAAGAAATCACTTTTGCAGGCATGTTACATTCAAAACGGAAGTTGCACACTAGTTCAGATAGTTTAGTTCTAAGTTTTTTAAAAATAGTACTTATTATGTGTGACTGTGCATACAAAAATTCTGAAAGCATTCACAAGAACCTGTCAACACTAATTGTCTGCAGGGTTAAAGAAAGTCTGACATTTACAAATGTACATTTATAACAAACAAGTTGAAATACCTTCGAGCTGTTGAATAGGCAGGCCCCCTACCTGTCCTTTTTTAAGGGACTCTGAACCCCATCAACATCCTCAATAGGAGAGAGAACAGTGGGCAGAGGAGAATGAGTGTTGAAGACGTCAAGGATTTCATGTTGTTTTAAGTTTGTTCTTCGCAATAAATAACAACAATGGGATTGAATTTTATCTCTTCTTGACCCTCGCTGCTTTCCGGTTCTGTGTTCATCGACCTTCTAACTGACAGCAAGTTCAATGGGAGCCAACTGTAGGCGGACAAAACGTTGAATGCAAAGTTAAACTGGATTAACAGATAAGATTTTATTTCTTGATGTTCTATTGTTCTCTGGCGAGAACACCCCTGGAGCCAAAGAGGCACTCATTTATCATAAACATAACAGGTACTGACTGGGAAAAACAAATAGCACAAAACCACATGGAATAAATAGTTGAAGTTCCCCGTCTTTCCACCCTCCATTCCCCACAGCTCACGGTTATGAACACTTTGGAATGTTTTCTTCCAAATACAAACATTTCAGAGACATATGTAACTTTCTTCCACAAGAGAAATGACTTCTGCAACTTGCTTTTCATGTCTAAATCACGACATACAAGTTTAGAGATGTTCCATCACTTCCTTCGTCAGCCTCTTCCACACCGAACATCTGTCCATATCTGTTGGGTAGATTCATAAAAACGGATTTTCTGGGTCGAAGGGTCAATTTACAGTTCTTGACAAATCTTTTCCAAAAAGATTGCATTGGAATGACATTTTAGAAAGATTATACAGAAACATGCAGAAGTGTGTCCAGAAAAAAAACAACACATTAAGAAACTAAAAAGACCGACCTGTTGAATGTATGGGTTTTGTAATGACCCACTTTGTATTTGAGCTGTGTGAGCTTGGGTGGGTTATGTAACCTCTTCAAGTCTTGAAAATCTTTCTTTCATTTATTCCCCCCCACATAGGAAGGCACATCGGTGCCTTTTTAAAATCTCATCTGAAACTTGAAGTTTCTGCAGTTAAATTTGATGACTAAGACGAACAGATCTTGTAATTGTTGATCAAGTTTCTCATAGTCAGATTTTACTGATAAACTTGTTCAGAGAGTATGATTTCAAACCCAAAGTATAAACTTTAAATCCCAAGCAAGTTAGCCAGCCACTGTTTCCAGGGATACTTATTCCTTCAACAAAAATTTGAGCACCCAGTGCGAAATAGGCAGTTTTAATCGCTGGCAATTCTAGCTGTGAACAGGACAAAAATCCTGCCCTGTGGATTTTCCCATTCTAGCGCAAATGCTTTATTAACTGTTAATGCGATGTATTTGCTAATTTGCCAAAGACTTTTTGCAGAAATAAAACGAAGGGATGTAAAAATTCTAAGGAACAATAATGATAAATCCAGGCATACTCTCAGCTTGAAACACATCAACAAATTAGTAACCCGGAACCACAGTTGTGTAGCATCTGTGAGCAACTTTCATTCAATCAGAACACAAGCTTCAGGTAGTAAGAGCCCTGCCTATGAGCTCATCTCTATATCTCCAGTGCCTAAGCAGTGTTTAGGTTACAGCAGGCTCATCATAAATGTGATGAAAATTTTCAAATTGCTTGTCCCAAGTGACCTTTTCCTGGTTCCTGCAGGGAAGAGCTAGCCAACGCTATCGGGATGAAAAGACTTGAGTGGACACATCAGGGCGAGGTGGACATGTAACAGGAAGCTGGCTGCCGCTCCTCCATCATCAGTTCCTTTAAATGGATGAGGGGCAGGTGAGGGCTGACCCTTCCTGCCATGGTTTGGGTTCCTGACATTTTAAGATGGTGGGTCCAAGTCCCTTGCCTCGATTTCCCCAGGTGAGGACGCAGAGGAGGGGGAGAGGAGAGAATTCTGTGGCTCTCAAACGTTACTTTTTAGGGGTGTATGTGTGACGTGTGTGAGAGCTAGCTAGTGAATGTGTTCAGCTATACGGAAAAGGTGAATATGCACACGATGTACGGAAAACGTTGGGGGTGGTCAGGGACCCAGGCTGTGGGGGATCCTCCTGGCCCATGTGCACCCACCCATCAGGGTGCTCACCCAGTCGCCCGCGGGTCCAGCCGCAGGAGCCAGAGGGACAGATGGGCGCGGTGGGAGCGGGGTCCCGGAGCCGCCAGGAGTCCCTGCACCTCGCACAGCCGCCCTGCTCCTGCTGCGATGCGGAAGGTGGGCGTGGACGGGCG